ACTGCGGCAGGTAAATATACATTATATATCACCAATTAGAATCAGAATAATTTCGTCGTCAAATCAGTTCCATACTAAGTTTGACGCAACGGAAAGAGCTCGGTGGCAGGATACCTGTTGCCGTCATGAGGTGCTTATAGTCTGAACTAAGCTGTAAATACGGGTGCTCCCCTACTGAGACACATTGTGATGAAGTTTTATTTACGAAGTTGAAAACAAATTAAATATACGGGGCGAGTAAAGATACTGAGTTAAAACTTCAAAAGTTCTCTAAGCACACAGAGTTTCCCGATCCAAACTAAAACAGTGACGTAGGAAATTGAATACCTGGACCCCTAATATTAAATATTTTCTACGCCACTGGCCTTTCTGGAGAACAAAAGTGGATATTATAAAATACCATCCAATTTTAACCATTAACTTTGTCACTCGAGGAATTTTTTTCAGACCACTCGTTTTGGCGATATTGAGGTTTGAATATACTAAGTGACATATAAATCCGAACACCCAGTTCAAATGGTTTTATTTTAATAAAATTTTGTATAAGTACTTAATGAAGCATAATAAGTAAATGATAAAAATTTCAAAATGATTGCACTGCTTTAAAGCCCTTTGACCTTTAATAATGTGTGGATGCACCCTGATGTGCTACGCAGTCTCCAACGCGCCTAGGCATGCTTCTGATCAGGTGGTCAATGTCCTCCTGTGGTATCTCATTCCAGGCAACCACCAACATCTTTCGAAGTGCTTCTAGAGTCTGAGGAGGACATTGCAAATTGAGCAATCTCCTACCCATCATATCCCACACGTGCTCAATTGGGGATAAGTCGGGAGATCTTGGTGGCCATGGTAACAATGTGACATCATTATGTTGAAAGAAGTCTATTGTGACTCTTGCAACATGTGGTCGGGCATCAAGATAGGGTAAAAGATGGGGTTCTAGAACTTCGTGCATATAACTCTGCGCGTTCATGTTACCTCTGATGAAGATTAAAGGTGACCTGGAACCATAAGCTATAGCACCCCAAACCAGTGTGATGAACATGTCTTTCAACAAAAAACTGTGGATTCCGCCTTTCACCACGTCGCCTTCTAGCTCTGGCACGACCATCGTGCATGCCTAAACAAAATCGAGACTCGTCACTAAAGACAATACTGTTCCATTCCTGATCCCAGAGTGACCGTTGTCTGCACCACTCAAGGCGATTACGTCGGTGTTCTCGAGTTAAAGGGAGGACCCAGTGTGGCCGGTATGAAAACAAGCCAAAACTTCTCATTCGTCGGTAAACACTTCGCATGCCAATAGGTCTTCCGTGTTCTGCAAACCATTCATTTGCAATGGACCTGGTAGTGGAGAAACGTTCCTTTAAGGCCAATAATCTTAGGCGGCGATCTTCACGGTCTGTTGTTCTACGGCGGCGTCCAGTGCCCCTTGCTCTTTGCGTACGGCCTTCTCGAAGCCATGCCTGACAACACCTAACCACAGTGTCTACACTTCTTTGCACTCGAACTGCAATTGCCCGAAAAGAAAGTCCAGCTTCTCGAAGTCTCACTATACGGCCCCTATCAAACTCACTAAGTTGACGAAATCGTACAGGTCTCCGTACTCTAGGCATCGTAACCGATCGTAAAGGATGTCAAGAACCAAAATCCGTCAACGTTGATTCTTTACTGCCGCTGAAATATTCATTTTTAGAGCGGTAGTGAATTAAAAAAAACAGTATAAAAACTTGTTATTTACAGTAAGATAAATACATTCACCAACTTTTATTAAAATAAAACCATTTAAACTGGGTGTTCGGACTTATATGTCACTTAGTATATTTGAGGTAAAATCCTAAAAAATTCTTATGAAAAGGTTTAGCATCCCCTATTCTGAAAACACCGTAAAGCTTGATATTGAAAACATTATATGGCATGTGAAGAAATCTATGGCACCTCATGACAATGTTAATTGAATAATACGCGTGTCTTATTCTCAATCGGTAGCATAAAAGCTTACCATTCGTTTACATACATAACATGTTTTGGACATATCACGAAACCTGGGTTAGATTTCTACTAGTAGTGAAAAAATACTGAACAAACCCTAGAGCAATCCCGTGAGAACAGTACAGAACATGCCTAACTTTGAAACTGCTTCACTCGCATTTTATTATGTCCACAGAGTTATAGTTGAATGAGTACGACGGCATCACGCAACTCTGTGGGATATCTGACAAATGGCAGAGAAGATTTCGACATAACTACATACAGTCAGATAAAATGGCTTTATATGGAAACTTTGGTGGCGTGTTTTTGCGATGCGATAAACATAAACTTGAAAAATATTTGGTTAATCCACACCTTGCTACGACTTGTGCGCCACTGACTTTGGTAATAGGAGCTGACTACATCCAATGTTTCTCCTAACAAAATCTATCAAAGCTCTATAGGAGTAGCAACACACGTCACCAATAAGCCTTATGAATACTCGTACATCGTATCCAAGTATTTTCGATACCACTATAACAGAAATACCTTTCATACCAGCAGGCCGTTAATTCATCATATAGAGAATAGAATAATACCCGCCATCTTCAAATTTTCAACTAATATTTTTATGTTAAAATATAGCGCTCTGTCAATTTCACCTTGTTATCTCGTTCAAAAAATACATAGATGCTCCTTCCTGAAAAGCACTGTTTATTTTGTGAGGGGTCATAGAATATATTAAAAAAACAGTACTTTACTTCAAACTAGCAAAGTAAGTCTTACGCGATCTTCCCAGTGAGATCCGCCTTTTCTCAACCACATTTCTCCGGCATATTTTCAATCAACGTACACCTCATAAATATTGAGAAACACAAGAAAGTATTTTTCTGCTACAAAAGTTAAATATTGTTAAATATCTGAACCAGTCTGCAATTATTGTTAAGTCTCTTTCAACCTTCACTTTTAGATCATCCCACGAGTTGTTACCCGAATAGATGTAAGATGTAAATGTAAAGTGTAAATAATAAGGGGCCTAACACTGTCCCTTGTGTGACACCATACGTTATCAATTTGTTGGTGCTTAAGGAATTATACTAAGTGACATATAAATCCGAACACCCAGTTTAAATGGTTTTATTTTAATAAAATTTTGTATAAGTACTTAATGAAGCATAATAAGCAAATGATAAAAATTTCAAAATGATTGCACTGCTTTAAAGCCCTTTGACCTTTAATAATGTGTGGATGCACCCTGATGTGCTACGCATTCTCCAACGCGCCTAGGCATGCTTCTGATCAGGTGGTCAATGTCCTCCTGTGGTATCTCATTCCAGGCAACCACCAAATCCTCTCGAAGTGCTTCTAGAGTCTGAGGAGGATGTTGCAAATTGAGCAATCTCCTACCCATCATATCCCACACGTGCTCAATTGGGGATAAGTCGGGAGACCTTGGTGGCCATGGTAACAATGTGACATCATTATGTTGAAAGAAGTCTATTGTGACTCTTGCAACATGTGGTCGGGCATTATCTTGTTGGAAAGTTGGATCTGCCAGGGTGTCAAGATAGGGTAAAAGATGGGGTTCTAGAACTTCGTGGATATAACGCTACGCGTTCATGTTACCTCTGATGAAGATTAAAGGTGACCTGGAACCATAAGCTATAGCACCCCAAACCATAACTCCAACAGTGTGATGAACATGTCTTTCAACAAAAAACTGTGGATTCCTCCTTTCACCACGTCGCCTTCTAACCCTGGCACGGCCATCGTGCATGCCTAAACAAAATCGAGACTCGTCACTAAAGACAATACTGTTCCATTCCTGATCCCAGAGTGACCGTTATCTGCACCACTCAAGGCGATTACGTCGGTGTTCTCGAGTTAAAGGGAGGACCCAGTGTGGCCGGTATGAAAACAAGCCAAAACTTCTCATTCGTCGGTAAACACTTCGCATGCCAATAGGTCTTCGTGTTCTGCAAACCATTCATTTGCAATGGACCTGGTAGTGGAGAAACGGTCCCTTAAGGCCAATAATCTTATGCGGCGATCTTCACGGTCTGTTGTTCTACGGCGGCGTCCAGAGCCCCTTGCTCTTTGCGTACGGCCTTCTCGAAGCCATGCCTGACAACACCTAACCACAGTGTCTACACTTCTTTGCACTCAAACTGCAATTGCCCGAAAAGAAAGTCCACCTTCCCGAAGTCCCACTATCGGCCCCTATCAAACTCACTAAGTTGACGAAACAGGTCTCCGTACTCTAGGCATCGTAAAGGATGTCAAGAACCAAAATCCGCCAACGTTGATTCTTTACTGCGGCTGAAATATTCATTTTTATAGCGTTAGTGAATTAAAAAAAAGCAGTATAAAAACCGGAATGTCCAACTGATAAGGCTGAAAATTTTTTCACTTGTTATTTACAGTAAGATAAATACATTCACTAACTTTTATTAAAATAAAACCATTTAAACTGGGTGTTCGGATTTATATGTCACTTAGTATATGTATTTGTACGCACTGTGTTCTCTTGGAAAGGTAACTTTTCATGAGGTTATAAGCCTTGCCTCTAACTCCTGAGTCATGTAAGGTTCCTAATAGTAGCAAGTGGTGTACTGTGTCGAATGCGTTTGCTAGATCTAAAAACATAGACAGGGTATGGTCACTTTGGTCTAGAGACAAAAAATATAAAACTATGTAAATTTCCGCAAAGTTGCACCAAACAGTTGCCACTCCTTCAATAACAAAATTACATTCCTTTCGATATTGGCCCGACACTAAAAAATTTTGATAGAAGTAATCTTGAAAGTAAAACTCAAATGTTATGGTTATCCCTCGTTATCCAGTTGAATGTTTGTTTTTATGTTATGACCATTTACGGTTCTGAATACATCATAACCGTGACAGTTTGTTATACCGCCGCCAGGACTTTTTTAACCAATGCCTCCAAGACTCAAGTTCTATACGTTACTGACTGGGCTTAGCTATTTTAGTCACGGTCAATACATTTCGGGTTCTTGTTCTTGTTTCAGGTACTGCTCGGCTCCTGCAACCAACGCAAAAGACTACCAGCAAGTGAACGGCAGCGTCGGCACCCTGTCTTTCAGCAGCTTCCGACAGTCTTTCACCACAAATGTCAATTACCTAAAACGCAGGTTCAGTTCCGGGGACTTGTCCTCGGAATGCGACGATGGACCTACAGATACTACCGTGGACCCCTATGTTAAGGGGCCCGTCACGCAGCCCGTTACGTCACAACCGCAGGTAAGTTCTGAGCCTATCAAATGTAATAATAATAACAATAATTGTTGTCTTTATTGGGTTAACCAAAAGGCGGCGTTCACCATGCGTGCTCTTCCACTCAACTTTACAGAGATTTTGTTTAAGTTTGTTTAAGATTTATTTAGCATGATTGCTACAAATACATTCTTTTAAACATCTACAACAATTATATACCGTACAGATATTCAGAAAAGAAACAACATTTGCATCTCTAAGAATTTTCATTGTGCATGAAATATTCCTTTAATTTTCATTTGAATATCTTTAAATTACAAGTAGATTTTATATCATTATTTAGTTTACTAAATTCAAGTAATCCTTGATTTGCTAGTTATATTACTCTCTCTCAATATATAACTCGTTTGTGGGGTCACTACTAACTTACGGGATAAGTATTTGGGGTACTTTAAAAATACTACAAACCACGCAAAATTATATTGTCAGGACCATTTTTCGTATCCCATGTAGGTCAAGTTGCAGATTTGTTTACTTTGAAAATGATCTTTTGAATGTTAGAGGTTTATATGTTTTTGCTGCTCTAAAATTTGTTCACTCCCGAAACAATGTTCCAACCAGCCACGCTTATGAAACAAGAATTAAAATAAATATAAGTTACACCTATACCAGAGTGAATAAATCTGTTTGCCAAAAATGCATAAAGTTTGATGGTATTAGGTTGTATAATAAATTACCCCTAGAATATAAAATCCTCTCAAAGTATAGTTTCAAAAAAAGAATTAAGAAGTTCATCTTAAATAACTTTGACATGCTTGCATCGACGGTAGCTTGACTCAACTCAGTAATTTCGTTTCCATCTAATGTTTTTTTTATTTCTTCTTTGTTATATACATTTGCTCATAAGGTATATTACCTTATAACCATTAGCCATGCATTGAATTTGTATATTGTATGACACACACAAGCTTATAGCTTAGGTGTCTATTCTTTTGTAGTAAATTCTTGTGTAGTAAATTGTAGTACTCTTGTTTCTCTGCTTAACCTTTACGCAAAATTTTTATTGTTTAAACAACATAGTTTGACCTTACTCGAAATATCTCTATATTATCATATTTCAGATATTCATATTTTATGTACTCTATATTTATACTTCTGAGTGTTTTTAGTATGCTTCTGTACTACTATGTGAATTTTAGATTTGTTTATGCAGACACGTAATTTAGGATTTGTGACGACAAGATTCAGACATTTACCCTTTACGAAAGTATACAGAATTTTCACAATTCATATACCGTTACTTGCTGGTTCTAGATCTGATGCTAGTATCTTTGCTCAGATTTCTGTTGCAATCTTGGTTATTCAGGGTAGCAAGAGTATACAAGCTCATGTATTCTTGAAGCTTTTTTTATTTAAATTGTAAAATAAATTGTACTTACGTATACCATAAATAAATCGTAAAAAAAAAATATTTCCTCTTGTATAATAATTGTGGTAATGATTATTCAATACTATGTAGTGTTCGAAATGTTCTGGCAAAAGATGACTTTTTAGTTTAAATATAAAAATAAGAACCAAATATGACATGAAATTTTACCTTGGGGTAAACAAATATTTTTTGATCTGGATAATGTAGATCCAATTTTGGTTTTTTGACTTCTGTCGATTAAATAGATTTGTAGAATTTTGAATACAGATCCTTTAAATCCGTAGTGATGCAATTTTGTAAGTAATTTATCCCCGTCAATAGTCTCAAACCCCCTTTTGAAGTCCAAAAACAGTTGCTGTATGTTTCCGACTGTCCAAACAGATAATGATAAAAATGGAAAGTATGCGTTGAATGTTTCACTAAATCGACTAAATGATGAAAATTCAATATATAAATGATAACATTTCATTGTTGACGTTTTTCAAATATTAAAGATTTAATTGTCTTCCTAAATGGAGGGGTCTCGGCCCAAAAAACTCCTGAGGCATGTTCTTATATCCCTTAGCTATTTAATAGCTGACACTCCTATCATATGTATAGTGGTTTTATGGGGTAGGAGGAGGGATGAGGACTGTGGATCTAATATTAGTATTATGAACCCCTGATGGAAATTTTAACTTTTTTGTACTGGTTTTGTGTAATAATTTTATGATACAAGGTTATGGCAAAAACTTCTTCTCATATTGATACAGTTAGTTTCTATTTTTTTTCCCGAAAGGTGATCATATTTTCTTATGCCATTCATAAACCTAATACAATAATTTTGAACAATTTCAATTTTCTTGCGTCTTTCTACATTCAAAGTGCTACGTGTCCCTAAACTGACTGCTATTTCTGCGGCTTCATTTCTATCTGGTAGTCTTTCTCGATGGCGATTACGGCGAATATTAGACACAGATCCAGTTTCTTCAAATTTTCTTATCAACTTAGTCACTTACTTATCGTTAATATTTTTGTCTGAGTGTAACAAATTAAACAATTGGGCAGCATGCTCCCGTTTTAATATGTCTACCCTTTCTTGAATTGAATAAGTCATTGTTCAATATTTATCATAACTATTATCGATTTGCTTCACAAGAAGTACCCAATTATATCATATGAGATTATTGATTGAAAGTACGCAAAATAATGTATCGTTACATTGCTTTTCTCGACCAAGAATCTCAGTCTATCGATTGACTATTCGATAGGGGTCAGTTTTTTACGTAACCAATATGAGTATCCCACTTGCAGTTTGATCGAAGACCTCACTAAGAGACTATCATCATGGATAGAGAAATGTGCAAAGGGTAGGCACTGACTTATTTTGGTTGAGTACTAGGTCATTATTGAGGAACCGCTGATTTATAGTGGTTAATTCCAGAGAAGCTGATCTAGTTTCAGATATTCCTGTTCATTTTCAGACATTGTTGCAATATTTGGTGTCAGTGCGTCATCTATTACTTTTTTTTCTATTTGAAAAATCAACACGCTTTTTACGAGGTGAAATCGAATTATATATATATATATATATATATATATATATATATATATCAGTCATGTGACCGCCGCGGCTTCGTTTACAGGCCAACATCCGAACATCAAAATTTTCAATGACTTTTCCCAGAATAATCGGCCGCAATTTCAGTCCAAATATTGCGCTTTAGGTCTTGAATTGTCCGGGGACCATTCGCATACACTTTTCCTTTCAAAAATCCCCAAAGAAAATATTCAAGAGGAGTTAAATCGCACGATCTCGGGGGCCAACTGACATCTGAATTTCGTGAAATTATGCGGTCTTGAAATTTCGTGTGCAATAAGGCGATTGTTTGGCGAGATGTGTGCCGTTGCTCCGTCTTGATGGAAGCAAAGATCGTCGGCACCAATACGATCCAATTGTTGCCACAAAAAGTCTGTTAAGATGTCGCGATAACGTTCCCCGTTGACGGTAATGGCCTTTTCGGCATCTTCAAAGAAGAATGGTCCAACGGTGCCACCAGCTCATAATACGCACCAAACAGTCACTTTTTCAGGACGGAGAGGTTGTTCATGATATTGGTGTGGATTTTCAGCCTCCCAGAATCTGCAATTTTGCTTATTTACGTACCCATTGAGGTGAAAATGAGCCTAATCAGAAAAGAGCACTTTGGCCGAAAATCCGTCTTCTCTTTCCAGCATCCAGTTAACAAAAACACGCCGCTGTTGATGGTCTGCCGGCTTCAATTCTTGTGTTAGTTGGATTTTGTATGGATGGAGGTGTAAATCAATGTGTAAAATCCGGCGTAAAGGGGTCTCACTAATTCCAATTGTTGCGAACGGTGCCTAGTCGAGGTGGTTGGATCTTCTCGCACACTTTCACTCACTGCGGCTATGTTTTCACGAGTACGAGCTGGACGAGGATGTTAGTATGGCCTACGACCTCCAGCTGAACCAGTTTCCTCAAAGCGATCAACAATCCAACGAATTACAGCCTCTGTAGGGCGTCCATGTCGGCCAAAACTAGTGCGAAATTTGCGAAAAGCAGTTTTTATATTTCGACCATTTTCGTTACAATTTTGGATAACCAAAATGCGTTGTTGTGTTGTAAACGAATCCATGACTATAAATTGCATACCTTTGACAGTTCATTTATGCATACCACATGACTTTTGACTCACATAAACTTATAGGTAAAAAAAAGTAATAGATGGCGCACCCAGTATTAATATGAAGCTGCTGATCTCAGTGATACTATAAACATAATGAGTCACTCATACTTTCCATACATCTGCCATGGAAATAGAAATATGATAGGCTTGCTTTGTATAGTTTATATGTAAAGGTCCTGAGAATAATGTTTGTCAGACCACTGAGTAAAGATAGTTTGAATATTCTAAGTTTAATCGGTATTAGCACTAAAATTCGTTTTAGGTTAAAATACACTGAATTTTTTTTATTTATCAATATACTGAAGTTAGTAAGGTTTAACATTGAAAATTGTATTTAGTCCTGTAGCGTCATTTGAAGGATTTTGCTTCATCCTCAATCAGTCCCAGCAGCGGCATACAATTCTTCAATATTTTTGGACCTACGTTTAGAGAAATATTTCATAGTATTGGATTCGGTTTCTGATTTAGGAATATTGCCTTTGATTTTGGATCGCCTTGTATATTTAGTTCAAGACAGAAAACCAATCTGTTTATAAAAGTGATACATGTGCAATTTATGTTTCCAGAATCTTGTAAGAAATGCGGACGGCCCATCAGAGTTACTCATTTTTGGCCTCTAATCCGTCATCATAAATCTAGAAACTTTCGCAATCAAGCTTCTCGATTGGTCACTTTTATTAAAGTAATCCTTTTACTTCTGATGAATAATTCCATTCCAAACATTCCCGATTCCTTCTGGCGTAATGGCACAATGCGAGGTCAAGCAATAAAAGTGTACCATCGTCGTTCTGTTAATGGGAGTTAATAAAATCAAGCAGTCTCCGTGAGTATCTTTAGTTATAAAGCTCGGCATTTTCTCTACTAACATGAGGTTTCCATACAGGGTGGCGCATCGAAAACGAAACGGACGC